CTAACTAATTCTAAAAGCAAAAAGGTTCGATATGGACTTGGTGTTTGGCTAAGTTCTCTATCTGTACTGAAAATATACATATATTTGATATTAAAAAAACTCTAATAGGTCTTTAATATTGATTCGAGTAGGTTCAGCTGTATGTGAAGAATGCTGATAACCAATATAAATAATAATATATCGTCTGGTATATTTATACCCCTATAATTTTGCAAGTAAAGTATGATGACCTGATGTATAAATACTTGCCCAGGCTAATCAGCTATTATTGGAATAACACTGTTAGTTAAATAATTATTTAATAAAGGAATTTCATAAATATATTGTAAAGCATTAATATACGAATCCACATCTCTAAGTTTTAATTCAAAAAAGTCCAAGAGAATTGTGTCTTTCATTTTATATTCTTCTTGTCATTCTTGTATATGAGCATCATAGCTATGAAGAATCAAATTTTCAAGTTTTTCATCTATGGATATTTTGTAATAAAACTGATCATTAAAAGTTTTCACCATTTATTTCATAAAACAATAATCTAAAATATTATAAATAAGTTCAGAATCGATTAGTTTTGGATTGTGGACTGATGCACTATTTAGCGTGCATGAAATGGCTGTTATGTCAATATGATTTAATATCAAGGTCATCATATATGCCACGTTTGATATTGAATACGTATCAGGAGTCTGCTTGAAATGAATGTTATGGTAATCATCAATATTCAACATTAAAGCCTTGTATTTATTATTCTCTACATATGACTTAACTATAGATGAATGGTTATTCGCGATTTCTATCTTTTTTCTATCTAGATACCTTCATGAAATCATTATACCTGCATATGATAAAGTATTTAAAGCTTCTGCGGAAACCCCTATCAAATTTAAAAAAAGAGAAATATCTTCTTTAAATATTGTTAGCTTAGAATTCCAATTTCCACAAATAATATAACATTCTACAGCTAATTTTTTATCAAGTTTTTCTAAATATTTTTCACTTTTTTTATCCAGAAGAGTTGCATTATAAATCGAATTAAAAAAACTACTTAGTCTTATATCTTTAGCCTCCATCTCTTCGCGCAATTGCTTGAAACTATAAATAGCTGGCTTTTGTTCAACTTTTTCTTGATCATATAGAAGTTTGATTAAGATGTTAATCCCATTGACCCATGAAAAATAATCATCACCCGTTTCTGATTTATCTTTTAAACTCCAAAGTGGTATAATCTTGTCTTGATTCCAACATATCAAATAGTATTAATACACCAATGACTGCTCGAGTTTTCTTTTTTCAGCTTCAGTTTTTCTTTCTAAACACGCCATTTCTTCAATTTGATTGAAAAAGAAACTCAATTCATTATTCTTATTTTTAGCAATCGACCTAAGTTGGGAAAATGAAATAACAGGTGGCTCTCCGTCTATTACTTCTCTCTCAAAAATAAGATTAGTTAGTAATGAAATACTATCACACATAGAAAGACTATTTCAACATCTTTTTAATCCTTTCTCTCAATTCATAGCATGTTCTTTGAAAGAACTTGCTCTATTCATTATGATCACGTTATAACAACTCATACACATATACTCATCCTTAAGATCTCTATAGTACGAGGCTAGAGTTCCGTTTGCTTCTGCCTTGATTAACACATTTTCAGTTATTTTTTTCCACTTTTCCATTGGAGTGCCTTTGCAAATCTTTACAATGCAACATTTACTTGAATCATGAGCTGAACTACCTTCTATTTCTTATAGATTATCTATAAAACCTGTTTTTAATAAAACTTTTTAAATCGTGGGATTATTTTGGATTAATTTTAACAGAAGACGGGTTATGCGAAGAACTCTTGCTAGTTTTCTTTTTTGAATAGATTTATTTGGTAGATTTCAAAAAATCACGGGAGTACGGAGTACTTTAAACTGTATAAAAAGTAAAAAAAAATTTTTTTATTAAATTAACTAAGCCACTGATAATTGTTGCCAAATTAGGATTTGTCCACTATGCTCGCAACGCCCCTGTCCTTTTTTTAATTTCCACATTTGTGAATTTTTTCCAGTATCGGTATCTTTTTAGCCCTACGTAAAACAGGCTTTTAAAACAAGATTTGTATTGAATAAGGTTAATAGCTACATGTAATGGTTTGTTCGGGATGGATATCCGGAGATTAGTTTGTGTCTTAGCAGTTTTTCTTACTTTTATTGTTTTTTAATTACTATTCTTTTATTACACGTATTATGGTTTCCTCGTTTTCATTCTTATGAAAATTAAAAGAAAATGAATAGCATTACTAGTAAAGGAACTTCTCTTAAAAGTGTACCTCGAAAATCACCACCACAGACAAATGAAATTTCCAATGAGCAGAAACAAAAACTCATTGATTACTTTCTCGATGGATCAAAATATGAAAATGAATTGCTAAAATATATTTATATTTGTATTATGTCAACAATAAAAAATTACGAACAAGCACGCATTGAAAAAGAGTGTACGGAACTTCGGAAAATTATAACTGAATCAAAAATCAGTCTCCGGTCGAGCAATAAGGAAACAGCAGTTAGAATAATTGACGAATATTCTGAATGGCAACGAAATGATTCTAGAAATAAACCGGACAATTTATTGAATCAAATTGGACTTTTACTCGGAATCTCATCAAAAGATATCGAATCTAATATACTCAAAAATTTACATAAGCTAAAAGTGCATGAGTTATCTGCCTTTCGTAGCATTACTTTCCAAAAATTTAAAGGCATGTTCGACTTTAATAATGGAAATTATTCTGAACTATATTTGCGCTTCAAGAGAGAAGAAAAAATCGCAGAATTGGAAATAAGATGTAAAGAGTTGGAAGAAAAAAACGAAGAAATCAAAAACGTGCTACAAGATAATACTAAGCGTTTAAAATACAAGGGATCATTCGGAAATCAACCAATACAAGAAAATATACGCGACGATAAAAACAATATGAAATCTAAATTGCAAGAAGAAAATTCGCTATTGGAGCAGATCGACATGCTTACTGCTAAAAATAACTCGTTTGAACAAGAAATAGAAAAACTTAGTATTCAGATCAAGCAAACTTCGGAACATGAGTTTTCAGAGCAACAGGCGACTAACGAAAAAAACGATGAATCACAAGTAAAACAACTGAGCGTGGAAGACTTGAATAAATTAAGCAAGGAAGAATTAATTGACGATATAAAGGAACATCAAGTCAAATATGACTCGCTTAATCAACAATTCGATTTATTTCATCAAGAGGTTGAAGAAAAAGATGAAGAGATTAAAAGACTTCGTAAACAGATTAAACAATATCAACAAAAACTCACGGAATTAGAAGAATCAAAATTTAAAGAACCAAAGAAAAAAATTCAACAACCACCTGTTATAATGAACTTACGAATGTAGTCATAAAATCAAATGCGTCGGCGGAAAAAACCCAAGGTAATAGTTTTTCATCGACATTAAGAAACGCACTGGATCAATTTTAAACTGAAAAACAGCAAATGCAAGAAGATTTTGAGTTACAGAAACAAGAATTACAAAATCAAATAAACGCGTTTTGTGAACATCTTGCTGCTATAAAGCAAGAAATTCAAAAAAAGGATGAAAAAATAATCGATCTTCATAAAGACATTGAATCACGTAAAGCAGCTTTTATTGAAGCTAAAAAAAGTCAATGGAATGAATACAAAAAGATTAATTCTTTTGATTCTTTCAAGCTTATCAAAGATATTGAAAGAATTCAAGCAGATGTTGGTGCAGTCGTAAATATGACAAAGCAGGCAGACGAGTTCCATTATAAAAATTATAAAATCTCTGACGGGAATGAAAAGTTGAGTTATATTCTTCAACGTTTTATAGTTAGGCGAGTTTTCTATTTTGTTGAAAATATTGCTGAAATCTGTGAATTTGAAAATAAGCATAAAGAAGAATTTGTTGAGCAATTTATTATATATCATACCCAAGAATTATGCATGCTTGCAGAAAAACTTTCAACACATCGAGTTGGATCAGATGGTTTTACATGTATTACACCAATCAAAATACGCCAACAGGTTTGTGCTGCCTTGGGTGCACGCGGCTTTCATAAGAAGGAATGGCATCCTACGATTAAACTTCTTGGTGACATTATAATTGATCAACTAAACCAATCTCGAAAACTGCCTCAAGAAATGAATGAAGAAATGCAAGCACGAATCTATGACCTTGTGCTTGAATTACTTAAACTTCGTTTTCGGATCGATACTCAAGAACCTATACCCGAACTAAGATGGTTTAAGACTGGCGAACCAATTCATGTTGGTCTAATGGATGTTAAAGATAACGAAGAGTTAGAAGTCGATTTGTGCTATTTTCCAGTTATTGGCGCATTCTTGGATGATCCTAATCCTCAGAATCGAAGAATATATTTCAAAGCTCAGGTGTTAACAAGAACTAAGAAACACGACCAAAGCGACCGACGTGATCGAAGCGGAGATTTAGTAAAAAATGCTTGGAATTCACTTCCAAAAAAATTATTTTGACTTTAGTTTATTCAAATTCACAGTTAATATGACAGTCATGTTAATTATGACCAAACTGTAAAATCCAATTAAATTTTCTTTATTGTATGGTACAATAAATCATAATTGGATTTTGGAGGGTCTCAAGCCAATTAATAGATTTCTATAATAAGTAGGGTCCAAAGGAAATAACGCAATTTTATGTTGTTTTGGTGCAAGCCTAATGAATCCAATAGATATAGCCAACATTAAAAGAATAGAGCTAAAATTTTACTATATAATCCTATTAAGTTATCCCATACTAAAATTGTTAGTGATCTAGAAAAATAAATTTTTAATAAATTTCATATCGATATCGATATTAATATTTATTTACATTATCAGATTTCATTAATGCTATTTTAATTTATTGAAAGAACATTTAGTTTAATTTAAAAATAGTCACAAGTACTAAAATAAATAATTTATATTTGTATTTTGAACAAGAACAGATTTATATTTCAAAAATATCATAATATTTTTTTAATTCACATTTTATATACTTAACTTTGTTTATAAAAAAACTATATAAAAATATATATACATGTAGTTACATGTACATGTATAATGTACATTTATCCTAAAAATGCTATAATGCAGTGTAGTAAAATACATGCATATGTACAAGCAATGATTGTTTTAACGTTAAAGCATACTTTCGAGATAATTCCCAAAAGTTTTTAAAAGAATCCACAAAGACTTACAGCCTTCCGAAATGGTTTTTACATCCCGTATGGTTTTCAACGGTATAAAAAGTTTAAATATTGATAAAAATGCAAAGTTTGAACGAAATATTCTTTAATTTTATTTAGACTGAGTAAAATTTATTGTATTGATTAATACATGTATACGATATAATAGATTTTACCGATATAATGGATTTTATACTAATAGATTTTTTGATACATTATAAAGAGAATCACTTTGAAAAACGGAGAAAATCCGAAATAGTATTAAAGCTGTACTTTATTAAAACAATTCAGCTAATAATAAATCGAAAATTCAACAATAAAATGTTTAAATGCCTAATACATGAAAAACTTATATAAAGATTTAAGTGAATAACAAAATTGGTGTATTTAAGAACAATATAAAAAGACTAAAGTTTATATGTTTCCAGCAAAAAGAATTTTGGTTTTTCTATTAAACGTTTGTCTCTAGAGTTGCGTGCTGAGAAATATTTTCATTAATGATAAAGACTGAAATTTCTGTGCTTAATATTCGTTGCTCCAAACTAATCATTTTTAAGAAATTATAATTTCATATATAGTATTCTAGGTTGTATATATTCTCAGTTTCGTCTACTGTAATTTTAATACTATTTTTGCAAAATTTGAAATACTTCATAATCATCAACACTAAAAGTAATTCTTGTATTATCAGAGTTTAACAGAGCGTGTTCATATGAATCTTTTCGACAATAGTTACCATCATATAGATCGAATATCCTTAAATCACGTGGTCCAAAAGTTGGTCCATAACCTTTATAGCAGCCAATATTATTTTTTTTTATTATACTTTTACTTATAAATCCATCGGATTCATTCGAGTCAAATTGAAATAAAAAGCTATTTTGTGCGTAATACCATTTATTGTTTGAATTCCATTTCAATGAATTATATCCACCAATTATTTTTCCTGAATCTTTAACCTTAATCGCAACTACTGTTGGACCATTATTATCACAAAGTCGATGAAAATCCGCTTCAGTTAATCCATCTCGACTACCTCGTAATAATAACTTTAAATCAAACGATTGAGTTAATTTCATATCTTGCGACTTTATCCATCCACTTATTTTATTGATTTGGCCTCGAGTAAGTATTGTGGAGTCAACATTAATTGAATTTCGAATAGGATGTTTGTTAGCTTGAAGATCTTCGCTTCCTGGAACCAAATAATGATGCAATAAATCCTTG